TCCTCCTGTCTCAGTTTCCCCAGGGCTTTGATTACAGGAGTGCACCACGATGCCCAGGCCTGGCATGGCATGCCTGGAGTTCCAGATGCCAGGGACTGAACCTGGGTCCTTGTGCTTGCCAGACAGGTGCTTAGACTGCTGAGCTATCTTTCTAGCATGAGAATGTCAGCATTTTTCAAAAGTCCAAATTCAAGTCTTCTGACAGTCAAGATGCTTTTACTGTAAAGCTCTGAAAAAATAAAAATCATGTTAGATAACTCCAAGGTACAATGGCATGGTATAAAGACCTCCATTCCAGAAGGAAGGAATAGGGAAGAGAAAAGAACTGGACAAAAATAAAATTGAATTCCAGCACAACAAGCATTATATCCTTTGGCTCCATGTTCCAAGCACACGGTGCTGAGATATGAGTTCCAGGCACTTGGGTGGTCCTACCTCTATGGTCTTGCTGGTTGCAACCTAGGTGACTTTTCACTTGGGCAAGCTCCACACACAGCCTACAGCTTCCCTTGGCAGACTTCCATGCTCTTGACATCTGTGACTTCTAGGGGTTTTCACTCTACTTTGACTTAATTCCCACAGCTTTACACACTCTCAGAGGAAGAACTCCTTACCTGGCCTTCCATATCTTTCTTTTACATTTAGGTGAAAGCCTCACTGATCCCATAACTCTTACGCTACATGCTACTAAAACCAGCATCAAATGCATGACAACAAGGTCTTTTCACTAGCATGGACACTAACCAGGCACCCCAGACCATACCAATAGCAGCCTCTAGATGCCTGGATAACTCAGCACAGTGAAATGAATCCTGGGAAACAAATTCCCCAGGCAACCCTTTTTGGGTATGGACTCAGAATCTTTTTCACTCTTTACACTCATTCACTTTGAGAGTAGAATGGGTGAGAATTTGCTGATTCCTGAGATTCCCTCAAGAGACCTTTCTTCTTGTCCCTGTACAAAGTACTTGGCTTCTTTCTATTTGTGTTAATCTCTTCCATAGTTTTTTAGACCTAATTTTACATGCAGCTCTTTCTGGGTCAAAATTTAAGGTTTTCAAACATTTATGTTTTGCTCTTTACTCCTGATTGTCATTTTAAAGTTGGTGAAAAGCATGGTGCTGGGGAGATAGCTCAGCAGTCTAAGCATCTGCCTGGCAAGCAGAAAGACCTGAGTTTGATCCCAGGTACCACATGCCATCCTGACTCTGGAACCCTGGTTGAGCAGTGCTGGCTACCTAAACCAAGCATGATGGCTCATGCCTGTAACCCCAGAGCGGGAGGCTGAGACAGGAGGATCTCTGAGTCCAAGTTGCTTGGGGAGACCCTGTACCAAATAAATAAATAAATAAATAAATAAATAAATAAATAAATAATAAACTTTAAAAAATTTGTGAAAAGCGTCAAGAAATACCCATGCCACATCCTGAATGTTGGACCACTTTGAAATTTCATGTTCCAAATCAGTCAGATCACCACCTTTAATCTCAGTCTCCTGCAGTGTTTCAGGACATGAGCAAAGCATTAATAATATGTTTTTTGCCAGAGTGTGACACTCATAGTCCAAATTTCAGTGGAGTTCTTGTTCTCAGTGGAGATTTCCTGAAACTGGCCTTCATTGTTCACATTTCTAGCTGAATTTAGGTCTTCTAAGCTCCAACCAGAACTGCCCATCCAGTTCTGCTTACAGCACTTTAAACCTTATCTATCTTGAATCTCAAAACCTCTCTACTCCTCTCGTGACTAGTGCAAAGTCTTCTGAGCCACATGGTCAGGCGTAAGCGCAGCAACTTCCCCACTTCTCTGGTACCAATTATCTGTGTTAGTCAGCTCTCCCATTACTGCAGCACAATACCAGAAACCCAAGACTTAAAATGTGAAAGTTTTGATTTAGTTTATGGTTTCAGGGTGTCTAGTACACAGTCAGTGGGCTCCAAGGCAGGCATATCATGGTGGAAAGGCAGGACAGAGCAAAGCTGCTGAGGTTGTAACAGTCAGGAAGCAGAGAAGGGCCAAGTCCAGAGAAGAAGGGTCAGGTCACACATAGACCGCACCTCTACGCCTCCATGATCCACCCAGAAGTGTGTGCCACCAGTCCCAGGGACAGATCCTGGAGCCAGTCAAGTTGACACTGTACCCTTACTGCCACTACACCCTTTTCAACTTCATATCCAAACACATCCTTCAACCATAATCTCCAAACCAGAGGTTGCTCAGGGCATCTGAGTGACTTAGACCATGAGATCTAAGTGATAAACAAGAAACTATCTGTGACAGAGAACAATGGGGAGAGGAGTTGTCTCTGGCAAGAGACGCAGAATATGATGTTCACTATGACTGAAGCCAGTAGAAGCTGGGCCGTGGAGTGAAGCAGTCTGGGTGGAGAGTGGAAGGTTCCACCTGGAGAGGGAGTAGGGACTACATTGCATGGGTCTTGCGAATTGATGGTTGGAATTTATCCTAAAAGCAATGCTAAATAGCCACACAAGAATTTAGGCAAAGAATTTGATTTCAGATTTGAGCTCTGCAAAGCTCATTTTAACTGCGCTGTGAAAAATGGCCTGGAAGAGGACAGATGGATAGATTCAAGGTCTACTTAAGAGGTAAAAATAAAGGTATTTCATAAAAGATTGGATTTGAGGATTGAGGCAAAGAAGAAAGAGCTGTCAAGAATGATGCCCAAAAGCCTGGGTTGGCAAGTAAATATAAGTAGTGCGCATTGAGATGACCCACTCCTGAGGTGGACCAGAGCCTCAGGAAAGCTCTCCGTCTCACTAACGGTATGGTGAATGTGAACTGTCACAGAGTGTGACAGAAGGTGGCTGGTAGGTAGTTAGGTAGGGGAGCCTACCGCTCTAGGGAAGACCAAGGCTTGCAACAGATTTGGGAGGTGTGAGGAGAGAGACAGAAATTGAAAACCATTACCCAGGTAATCAAGGGAGAGCACCTTCAAGGGGAGAGTAGGAAATAGTATAGCGCTTCCAAAAGTTGGAGCACATGAGAACTGAATTTTTGGTTTGTGCACAGACCTCTGGACACTGCTGTGGCTTGGATCCAGCTTCTGTCCTTTAAAACTCATGCTGAAATTAAATTGGGTCTTTGATGTAACAGTGTTGAGAAATTATAAGAACTTTAAGAAATGATTTGGCCATTCAGAGGGATTCATATACCTCTCAGTGGACTAAGTTAGTTACCATGGAAAACTGGGCCTCTTGCTTATTCTTTTTGGATCATGCCCGTCTGCTCTTCTCTCTTCCTGATGTACTAAGCCACAGCACAAGGCTCTTGTCAGAAGCTAGGAAAACACTAATTCCATGCTTTGGGACTTCCCATCTTCCAGCACCAGGAGCTAATAAATCTCTTTATAAGGAACCTAGTCTTGGGTATTTTGTTTTGGTAACAAAATGCACTAAGATGGTTTCAGTAGAATGGTGATGGTGGTGGTGTGTGTGTGGGGGGGTAGAATCTTGATCACAGGATTGTTTAGTAATAGAGGGGAGGGAGAGCAGAGCTTGGGCAATAGCCAGAGGGATTGTGGGTTGAGGGAAGGTTCTTACCTGTATTGAAGAGACTTGACTTGAAATTATGGCAGTGCTGATGGGAGGCAGCTGTGAGACAACAGGAGATTCAGGACTTATCTTGGTCTTAACCATCCAGCAGAAAAGTATAAAAACGAGGTATAAAAAGTAAAGCCATATTAATATGCTGATCTGTAAAAGGCTCAAGTCAACAACTTCTGATATTGCCAGTCCTACGGATAACCCACTACTATTATGGACTACTGCACTATATTGGATTATTTTGTTGAATTCACGCACCTACAATATTTAAATGGCAATGGAATACCCATCTCTGACAAAACTAAACAAAAAAAGAGGATACAAATGAAGGACCATTCTGTATCTGTACATACAAAATAGGATAGATACACAGCTGCTTTCTCTTAATTCAATGAGAAGCAAGATCTCTACTAATAGTGTTTGTGGCCAGGGTATCATGTCTGCATCTTGTACTATGAATAACCACTATGAAGACAACAATATGCAATGTATTAATTATTGAAACTGTCCTACTAATTGGTTTTGAAACTGTCTCATTGTTATTTGTTTCTCAATCATTTTTTTTAAAGAAAGAAAGAGAAAAAAACTTGGGAGAATTCCTAGCCAAAGACATATGTTATTATATAGAGATAGATTTAGATGGGTGGATAGGCAGATAGACAGACAGACAGACGGACATTCAGACAGATTTTTCTATGGCAGGGTCAAGTAGCTGAAAACAGTAAAGAAGGATAGAAATAACCATAATTGAAAATAGGAGTATTTGAAGATAAACTTGGAAACAAAAATATAGAAAATTTTAGAAAGAACATTTATTTTCTTTCTAACTTGTGAAGACACACAGAAGTGGTTTCCAGGGAGGACACAGTGTCATTTTCTGATCCTTGTGGCCCTGTGCAGGCTTACCCTTCACTGTCTAATGCTGGGCCAGGCTGCGCTGCAGGAAGCCTTGTGGTTAGGTGCTAACTGGCTCCCCGAGTGATTCAAGAACGCAGCCTTGTTTGCACAGGAGGGACTCATTGCTCTTACTTCATGCGTGGTCACAACTGTCTGTGTGACCTGTCTGCAGAGGGCAGGCCCGCCCCTCTGCCAGACCACACCAGCTCACTTGCGTGGCAAAGCGTTCCTTTGTGAAAGACCCTTCCAGCGCTGCCTGGCACTCTGGTCCTTCTCCTGTTACTCCCAGCAGCCTAGCAAGGGGGAGGCAGATCTGGGGGTGGGGGCAGGGAAGAGATGAGGAATAGGAAACCCAGAGCTCCAGAGGAGTGGGGAGGAGGAAGGGTCCCACCCAGTAACATGTGGGTTGGGAGAAACAAATAGAAAGTCCTAGAAGCCTCTGCTCTTTGAAGTGGTCAAGAAGGGGGAGGAGAAAACAGTGGGGGATGGGAAAGAGGGTGGGAGCCCTTAGCAAGTTATTTAAGAGCCAACTTTCTGGTTGCTTTTCCCCAAGTCTTTCTGAGGAAGTTCCCGGACTCACAGAGCTGCCCAAGCCCCCTGGCTGGAGCATACGGGTAAGTGGGCTGCCAGGTACCATTGCGTGCCCCAGGACACTGCAGCTCTGCACCCAGGTTCCCCAGGGAGCCCCAAGGGACTGCTACAGGACCAGGGAGGGGGACAGAGGCAGCCTCACTCCTCCTTCCCTTAACTTTGCACTGCGTAGCTCCAATTCTGAACCGGTCTGCTCAGTACTCTGCAAAGCCACCAGGAAAGTGCCACTTGCTAAAAAGGTAATAAGGGGGAGTAGGGGTTCACTCAAAGGCACAGCCCCTTTCTTCAGGGCCACAGAGGCTTGAGGGAGAGAGGGGGGCCACGTGGGAAGTTTTGGCTTTGCTCCTGTGCTTAACCCTCCCCCACCCCACAGCAGGAGCATCCCGCTTCCAGTCCCTTCCCTGGCCCATGATGCTGCCCACCTGCAGTCCTCCTGGGGCAGAGCTGGACCTGCTGCGCCTGGCTGGCACCTGAAGCCCCCAGGCCATGCCTTACCTGCCCTCTGCCAACGGACTACTGCCCTGCTCTGCACTTCTCTCCCCCAAGTGCTGTCTGCCCCTCAGAACCTGCCTTTGCTGCTTTCCAGACTATTTTTTTCCTGCCTTCTGCCCGTTCTTAAAGCATTTTCTCACCATTCACCCTCAGCTGCCAGAGGCGGCTGTCTGTAAACATGTGGGCAGGCACACACGGAGGTGCCCTCTTGTCTCCACCCAAGCCCCTGTGGGCTTCACCTTCAGTACAGTAGTTACAGCTATTCACCCCAGCAAGCTCCGTGGTTCTCAGCCCTGTTGCCATCCCTCTCCCCCAGTTTTTCAGAACAGTCTGATTTAGTTGACTCTATCAGGACGATATTTGGTCTCTGGAAGGTGTGCTTGGTTCCACGCTGGCAGGCATTGGGATTGGCTGATCCGGGCACTCCCGGCCACAAACAGAGTCCCCCTTCACTGGGTCTCTGTCCCCAAGCACTCGCTGTGCATGACCGTAGGGTGTGTGGTATTTGAACTGGCCCCTGGCCTGCACTGAAGGATCAGCAGGGCTCAGGGGCCAATGGCACCACAGACCAGGACCAAGCAAGTTAGAGCACAGGCTATTAGAGGCCCACTTAGTGGCCTCCCACCCACCGCCCTGTATCTCTCCAGCTTCTTCTCCGGGAGCTTCTGCCTCCAGTGCAGTTCCCTTCCTCACATGCACTTGAATTTACTTCTGACCTTGTCCTGCCCCTGCCTTGCCCCATGAGACTTTCAGCTCTCTTAGCAGAAAATTTGCCTTGTACTCTGGTGGAGCTCTCCCAAGTACCTAGACCCCAGCTGGCGCAGAGCAGCCCTCAAAAAATATCGGTTGAATTAATTGCAAATACAAATGGTTTGGAGGACAACACTTGTCTGAGCACGGCTGCCCGAATCTAATCTTAAAATGAATTAGGCCCTGTACATCTCCTTGAAATGGGTATAGGTACATCCAGATGGCAATAAACATCTAGGAAGATGCATTCCTTCCAGGACATTGGGGAAGGGAAAACTCTGCTCCCTAAAATCTATAAAGTTGCTCATTTCTTCAAAGAAACCCCCACTCTCTTGCTTTCCATGTGTCTTGACAAACACCAAAACTCCCTGAGACCCTTGGGGAGCCGTGCTTCACCATTAGGCTAATTCTTGCTGCCACTTCTCTGCTATTATTTATGCGAAGCTCAGAAGGCGCTGCTCAAGTGCTATTGCACACAGTTATGTCTGCTTCTCTATTTTTGAATTCTGGTCTCAAAGGGAACTCATTTCACATTCCTCTTCCATAGCTTTCCCCCAAGGACCTCAGAAAGCTGAGAATGTCGGACAGTCCCAGGACTGCGTTTGGGGGCAGGAGAGCCGTGCCCCCCAACAACTCCAATGCAGCAGAAGATGAACTCCCCACTGAGGAGCTTCTGGGCTTGGTGCCCCGGGGCGTCAACCTGCAAGGTAGGAGCATCAGTGTGTGGGCACAGCCAGGCCTGGCACCTCCTTGCAGCAGGCACTGGGTGAGAAGGAAGCCTCTAGCAGTCTCTGGTTTTTAAGGAAAGGAGACCAAACTTCTCTTGTAAAAGCACAAGAGGCTGGCTTTGGGCCGGCCAAATAGCTTAGCAGATTAAAGCGCCTGCTTGTGCTGGGAGTTTCATCTCCAGGTCTGCCGTGTCGGCCCCGTCCCTGAGCGCGCTGAGAGGGCAATTCGGACTGGGCGTGGTGGAGCATGCATGTAATCCCAGCTCTTGGGAGGCTGTAAACAGGTGGATCACATCTAGTAGTGAGACCCTGAACACCCTATATATGCTTCCCCTGAAAAAAAAAAAAAAAAAAGGCCTGTCCTTGTCCCTGTTCTACGGCTTACTGGTTGCGTAACCTCAGGGAACTCATTTTGTCTCCCTTACTCTCAGCTATCTCCCATACAAAACAAAGATGCTGGATTCAGTGAGGCCTCTCCCAGCCCTGCTGCTCTGCGCTTCCAGCAGTGCTCTCCCTCTGTAAGATTCTGCTTCCAAAGCCCCATGGCTGTTTTCCATTGTCTGGCTCACACCTCCTTTCTCCCCCTCCCTCCTCCTCTGTCCATGGCTTCGAATTTCAGAGCTGGCGAGAGAAGTGCCAGAGTCTGACAGTAATAGAGATGGAAGCCCTTTATTTGTCTCCAGAGCAGCCTGGAGAACAGGCGAGGCGAGTTGCTTTCCCTGCCTCTCGCTTCTGCCTGGTCCTGAGGGACCTGCTCTGGGTGCAGCAGCCACCAGCTGACCTCCTCTCAGCCCTGTCAGCTGTGACAGGGTCCAGGTGCCAGAGCTGGCTTGGTGAAGCAGCTGCCATTCCCCTGGGCCCTGGCAGGGACCCTCAGGCTCCTGTCCCTGAACGGCATCTGGCTGGGAGCGCTTTTGGTCAGAGCCTTTCATGCACCAGAATCCAAGTTTCCTGTGAGGGCTCTCTGTGCAGGGTGCTGCTGAGAGCTAAACACCCACAGGGTAGTGCAGTGGTCACCTGTGGCCATGCAGCTCAGTAGCTTCAGGACAAGTCCAGTGCAGGAAGCTGCAGAAGGCTGCAGGGCTCCAGGTAGCAAGGGTTGTTGATTGCCAAGCAAGGCAGCAAGTTGTGATCCTTGTAGACCTTGCAGATGAGTTGGGGGGGCAAGAATCCTTTTTTCCTCAAGAGGAAAGAAGACCCAGATTCTTGCAGGATCCAGGATAAGTGACCGTAGTGCCCCAAAACCCAGTTTTTCTGTCAGCAAAGTGGAAGCAATAGCTGCAAGCTGTCCTGAGTATCAGAACGCTGAGGTCCTGGGATCGCCTCCAGCCCGCAGCACATGCCCCATGATCGTCACTGACTGCCACCGTGTCCACGAGCACAGGTCAGGAAGATCCGGAATCCAGTAACACTCAACTCTGCGGGAGTGTGTGCAGCCTGTGACCCCCCGCAACCTCAAATCTAAACAACAGGAGCCAGTAAGACATCAAAACTATCCAAGATCTTAAGCAAACCAACCATTCTCAAAAATCTGAGTTAGCTGGTTCTCTGCTTACTTGGGGGTAGGGGTGGAGAATAACTTAACTACAGTATTTCAAGGACTCAGTTATTACTGACCGTGCAGTCATGTGTCCACAATGCAGGTGGCATGCTGCAATGTTCATGGAAAGCCCCGGTACAGGAATTTGAGACTCCAGTGACTATCTATAGTATGGTTTGAATGAATGGGGCCGGCTAAATAGCTCAGTGGATTAAAGCGCCTGCAAGCAGACACAGGGACCGGGGTTGGGCCCCGGACCTGCCTTGCTGCCCTCCCCCCCCCCTCCCCGCGCCGGGCATGCTGAGACAGCAATTCATACTGAGCGTGGTGGCACGCACCTGTAATCCCAGCTCTTGGGAGGCTGTAAACAGGCGGATCTCTACTAGTTTAATCTAATAATAGACCCTGAAAACCCTGTAGACCCTTCCCTAAAATTAAAAAAAAAAAAAGAGAATGATTTGAATGAATGAACTCAGTCAGTCACATGCAAATGCAGTGACTCATCACCCATTCCTAGCATCATTATAACCTTATTATTAATAGCAAGTTCCAGATTTCAAAAATATACATTCATTTCATGTTTTCCACACAGATCTGCTAAGTGCTGCAGGATGTGAGAACCGGGCCTCTGGACCTGGGAATCACAGTGGTAAAGTCCCAGATGGATAAGGCAGGAAAAAATACCGCAGTACAAAATGTCTGAGCAAGGTGGCTCTGTACATTTTGATTTCTGTGTAACTGTCAAAAACTAGGTTATGTGGCACTAAACGTATCAAGCGCTCCTTAAGACACCCCTGCGAAGGGCATAGTCCCTCCTTTTTTTTTCTTTGTTCTGTGTTTTGTTTTCAAGCCATCCTCTTGCAGTTCAACCAGTGGCCACTAGTGGCCTCCAAGAGCACTTTTATTTCCCAGGGTCTCTCCCACCCTCCCCCCCCAGGCAGAGCATGCCTTTGACTTCAGCATTAACAAAGCCCTAACCAAAACCATACACTGTCTTTAACTTTCCTAAAGAGGCAAGAAGAGAATGGAGAGAAACGGCAAGGCTTTCATTTTAGTTGATCCTGTGGCAATAAATCTTGAGCATCATCGTTATGAATGATACCCACAATATGTGTCCAAGTGAACAATGCACCACAGGATGTACACAATACATGTTCATGTGTATAACCAAATATTTCAAGTAGCACCTAAATCACGACTATTTGAAATCTTTGGTTGAGAACTCTTTTATCAGAGCCAAACCTACATCAAAATGTATAAACTCACATACGGTACCTCCTCTACAAACCAAGATACTTAAGAAAAATGGAAATATTTGAGGTGGCCTGTTGATGCCAGGCAGGCCCAGTTCATCTAATGTCCTCCAAGATATTATGGATCTTAATGTCCCTCTGGATGCTTCAGCGCAGCCAGGAAAAGTGCTGTGATAAAGCTTGCTTGGATTTGTATCAGTTTCTCATAGGTTGTTCTACATGCTCAGCTAGTGTTTCTAAAACACTGTCTCTCCAGCTTCCCTGATCTCAAGTTCTGTGGGGCTGGAAATGTAGTGCTCCAGAAGACAACTTCATCCTCTTGGGCTGGGTTGACTCTGCTAGTAACAAGAAGTGATCATTTGCAGCAGTACTTGGATGTTTATTTGACAAGTCTAATACCTTCAATTCAAACAAAAAACCAAGCCTAGCTGTATAAAAAATTTTTGTACATAGTAGAATCTACTACTTGTAGGCTAAAGGAGTTTACCCCTCAGAACAGTCTCCCTCCTACCGCTGTTTGTCAGAACTAAATGAACTGATTACCAGTTAGGAATCGACCTCTCTTTGGCACAGAGGGGTCAATAGGTGTCGAAAGAACAAGGGCTGCATTCAGTGCATGAATAAGCAATGGTGTTGGCAAGACCCCGCCCGCTGTCCCATTCCCTGCTTGAGAAACAGAGACTGGCTGTCACATATGTGTCAGCAGCTGTTCCAGGCTCTCCCTGAGGGTTGTCAAGGGCAGTCAGTCCCTGACTTAAAGCAGCTCTCTGTCCAGTAGACAAAATAAAAGAAGAAAAGATCACTGTAATCCAGTGCAGTGAATACCACAATCAAGATTTATGAAAATTTCAGCTAGCTAACAGGGAGAAGTGTCTGGTGGTGTGCAGTAGGGAAGTGAAGGAAGAAGGTATAATGGTGAGAAGGTATCTGGTGAGGTCGCAGAGGCTCGATGGATGGAGAGGATTTTCAGCAGAGGAAACAGTGTGTGCTGGGTTTTGAAGAGTGACAGAGGACAAAAGCAAGAAGAGCCTGAGTAAATATGGAAGGGATGCCACTGTCATGGGCTCTGAAGACTTTATCTTTCACCTTATACACAATGGACACTCATGTGGGGCTCTGGACAGCAGATTTGTGTTGCATGAAGGTAATTCTATGAGGAGGAGGGCTAGAGAAAGGGAGATGCTCAGGGCTAGAGGAGAGGTAGCCCAAAGGGATTTTTGCCTTTAGGAGGTGTGAGCCTCTGTTCTCTTAGGCTAGCTCCCCCTAAGCAGAGAAATTCTTGAACAGTTTAGAGTAACAGTTAAGAGTAATAGTTTAAAAAATTAGCCCCTGAAGAAAATGTTTTCATTCTAATTGTGGTGCTTAAAAATTCAAGTACACAAGAGAAAAGTGAAAAAGTCACTTTTCCTATTGTTCTTCTCACCATAAACGAACCTTCTACCTCATGGATAGAATTAATACCCCGGCTTAGTAATCGCATTACCAAAGATTGCATGGAGAATTCAGCACACCAGGGAATTCCTTGAATATGAACTTAAACATTTAACTTATTTCAAGATTCCATCTGTGACAGGTATAATCATTCTCAGAAGAATATTTTTACAACCCAGGGAAAAGATAATCCATTTTTTTTCATATTAGAGAAAGAGTAGGAGGACCTACAGGCAGCTGGCTCCTGAGGAGAGATATTTTTCTTTAACAATCCATTTTCTGATGTGTTTGGAATTAGACTAAACTGTATTAGGTAGAGTTTTTGAAAGCTGTCACTTTGAAAGAGCAAGCTGCCAAGTTTCTAGCCACAATATCTCTTAAAGAGAAAAGAAAAGAGTGGCTTAGCATTGAGCTGCCCCACTTTGTGAGGATCTGGGCTTGGCCGGGGAGATGCAGGTTCATTTCCTATGTGCAGTGAAAGAGTGGAGCATGAAAACGGAGATGGGACGCCCCTTCCGGTCCCCACTATTTCCTATTAAGCTAATGAGCAAAGCAAACATCAATGCTCCAGCCTAAGATACCCTCGGGCTGGCAGGGGCACCACTGGGCAAAGTGGGCCACACACTACACTGTGGTATTTTGATATTTATGTTCCTGTTTTATGATAACCATTTCAGAGTCTTTGTCTCATCTGGTTTTGTAGGAACTATATATGCTTGATCCCCCATGTGGCAATATGCTAGATGGTAGAAACT